TAAACAAATTAAGGTTTTTTATACCTATTAAAACATTATTCACAGTTCTGTGGGAAAGGAGGCGTTCTGCTTCAAGGGTTGTAGTTATTAGCGCTCACTTGGGAGGCTGTGAGTCTGTAATACTGTATGAAAACCACAAGATGGCTGCATATCACAACTCATGAGAGGGGAGGAGGAGAGGACGACTGCGAGGGGCCAAAAGCAGAGGAACGACCCAACGGGAAACACGTGCAACTCGTCAAATTATTTCACTCAGGGGATCCTTCTGGCTGAATGAAAGAACAAAAATCAGCCAAATCAGACGATTCATGGATCAGTTGGTTTGAAAACCGGCACAGAGCTTAGTAAACTCAAACTCTGCATTATTTCCTCCACACTGCTCTTTCTACTGGAGATCACGCTCTCTTGTGCCCCTTAAAAACAGCAGTTTCAACTGTGAGACCATGAATTTTTAAGCGTATTCAGTGGGTTTTAAATGGTTTACGTAGCTAAAGATGCATCCGATTTTTCTCTTCACCTTTGCAATCCTTAACTTTATCTATAAAAATCACCAAATTTGTACATCAATAAAATTTTAAACGTTCAAAAGACTAAAACCTTTTCACAAAATGGAAATTGGAAATTAGTTGGAAATTAGTCAGACTTGACAAAACTCCTCTAAAGCCACAGAAGACAACTGTTGGGAGTATTCCTCATTATTAAATGATATTCATGTGGAAAAATTGGTGAAGTTCTCCTTTAATTCCACTTCTCTTCCTTTCATGCCCTTATGCACCATTGTTCTTTAGTTGAAATCTTTCTCCACATTCCTCCTAATGGCACTGTCATTGTTACATTTCAGCTGGAATATAGAAGTTATTCTAGCAACACTCCACAATGGCTGAGCAGAACATTTAATGCAGCTCAAACAGACATGTCAGGAATCTTCACCTCAGTTTTCATGCCCGCTGCCTCTGTTGTGACCACACCACCTCGACAAGTATCTCTGTCTGCATTGTCTGTGGAGAATAATGTTGGGGCAGACAGCTGAGGTGGGTCAATGTTAATTTCAGTTTAGAGTCTCTTTGTATAGATCAGACATTTGTGGGTCTGAAGGGGGGGGGGGGTATTCTTCCCATAATTGTCACACTGACTGAACAGACTTTCAGTACTGTGCAGACATGTTTAAACACCATAGCCTCTTGTTAATCACCTTCCTTCACCCTCTGTGTTTCTCGACACTTCTGTTTGATTTGACTTGATATTTGAGGTATTTGATATTTGCATATTGTACGAGGAACCTCAACTTGCAGTTATTAAAAGTCTTGTGCACACATTCTGTGCAAATCATAGCTCGAAGGTATGATTGATGAAAAACTAATACGCTGTCAAAAACTCTGGATTACACTGGCTGTTTTAACTTTCTGTGAGAACAAGTTCTATGAAGTGTGTGAATGGCATAAAGAACATTGGACCTGTTTTTTTTTTCTTTCATTAATGGCTTTAATGAGAAGTAGATTTTTTGGAAATACATGGTTTTTATAGGACAGCGACACTATGTAAAGTGATGCATGGCAGCGTCTGGCGACCACTGGAGCAGGCTAAGCTAGTTTCCAATGAAAATAGTTGGCAATATATAATACTATACATTTTTTATAAAACTCTTGACTTACAAACTGGAAAAATGGAATGTATATTGTAGATTCAGTATTTTTTTTAACTTTTAAAAGGAACATGTAAAAGTACAGCAATAACAACCCAGGTTTTTTAAATAACAATCTTAAACACAACATAATTATGAACTCAAAAACCCTATAAAATGTGAATTGTTGTTGTGAATGTCAGTCAGTTGAAAAAAAAAAA